ATGGTATTGATCATTTAATCATTAAAATATCAAGGTAGCTAAAGAAAATCTAATTATTTACTCATCCTATATTCTGATTGATGAATAAAGAATAATGCCACAAAATGCATTGTGCTAAAGGAAATCTAATTATTTACTCATCCTATATTCTGAATGATGATATGAAATATCAGAGCAGATGTAAGTTAAATCTTTAGGCAAGGGAGTCTTATATTTCATTCCTAACACTAGTCATCAATCCAACCACCTTATCTTATCCTTTGACTAACATCTTTACCAATAGCCTATCTTTGTTATTACTAATATCCAACAAGCATGCCTACTAACTTATTCTTGACGTGGCTAAAGAAAGACAACATACAACTTTTTCATAAATTCTAACATGTGCAGAATATTTCAGCACATGGCCTAGTTAGTCTCTTGTTTTGACTCCACTAGTATAAACCAGAGTACTGTTTGGCCATTGTAGCAGACTTTATCTACATGGCTACTATAACCCAATTCCTGTCACATTACACCAAATCCCATTTTCACACGATTTTACTACAACCCAACACCGACTTTTAAGTCATTTTGGCGTTGGTGAATCGCATAACACCAAATTTGGTGTTCACAATTCCTTTACGCCAATTTGGTGGTGAACTATTTTCACTTACAAATTGGCCCTTCAAGTTTGATGTTTATGTAATTTTAGTGTATTTGATTATAAATGATGTTTTGGCTATAATACTAATATTATATCTATATTAATTTATGATATATAATAAATTTCATTTTCAAGTTTCAAATTTACTTACAAAGTTAAATATTTTTTAAAATTTAAAACACAATAACATATTGACAATAAAACATACCATTGACAATATGAGGTTCAGGAGAAAACCTCCAAACAATGAAAAACCGAAGAACATCCTACTAATCATTCATTTGTACAGTATGCACATTTGCACACAAGTAACTGAAGATGTTTCCTGGTTTCTATGCACGTGTACATGTTATGCATACTAGACAAATTACTTGTATGCACATGTGCATATTGTACAGATGAATGCTTATTAGGATGTTCCTCAATTTTGCATTTGTTTATGGTTTCCCCCTGAACCTAACCCTATTTACATCTATCTATCTATCTATATAGATATATTTATATATTACAATACGAGGAAATATTATAGTTTATAAAGTTATTGTAAGAAAATAATTTCAAGTTGAATACGTAAACAAATAATAAACGTAAGGGTATTACCGAAAATCTATTTAAGATAGAAATAAGTAATATATTTAGGAATATTCTATTTGGTGTTAAACATGGTGAAATGGGATGGAGATGAATTACCGTTTACACTAAATTTAACACCATTTTGGTGCAAGAAATGGTGCAACCGTTTGGAGATGGTTTTAAACCATTTTAAAGCAAGAATATGAACATTGCAAATGATTTTCCCGTATAATAATTTAGATCAAATGACTTGGTTTTAGAGCTCCACCCAAATTTCAATAAAGCTAGATTGCTCACAATCACCACATATAAATTTTTAGCCTAAAAGTGGGTTAGGTGGACAAAATTATCATCTTGATTCAAAGTACAATGAAGTTTATAATCCAATGGCCAAACAATTTTTGTTTCCACCTCCCAATTGATTTTTCCTTCATTTTTTGAATTGTCTTCTAAACTATTATCTATATTCAATTGACTACAAGTCTGAATCATACTTGAGAAAAACTTATAAATTGTGTTTCCCTATAGAGACCTTTTAGAAATATTCTTCTTAGATAACTAAACGTAGGAAGGGAAACGTTCACATTTAAAGGAAATCCTCAATTGGGAACATTAAGCGAGTATGCATTAAACTTCATCCTCGATTTCCAATTAAGGTCATCAACATTGTGACTTCAATTGAAGCTTTCTAAACCTAGGGAAGTGATTCATATACAAATAATTTCACCACAAGATAAAAAAACAAGGGGATGAAATTCATGATTTAATGAGTATCCTATGGATTAGCGATCATCGGTCACAAACACATATTAGGTTATGTGGAGCCACTCAACGCCCCATAATCTTCTCTCTAAAGGGTAGAAAAGGGTATTTACATTTCTGCCAACCCCTTCCCTTCCACCCCTATTATTTTCTCATTTAGCCGCTTGCCTCTCCGCTTGCATGCCTCTACCAACTCCTCCATTCTCTCACTCCATCTCATAGCAACAATTGACGTTCTTCTATTCGATTTCTAAAATATCAAGGTATGTAATATGATCTTTATCGAGAAGATTGAAATCTTAGTTCCACATCGTGTTTGCCAAATTCAAGCCCTAGATATATAATTTGTTCTATAAATTTAAGTTTGCCCTAATTCAAATCGTACATAAATAGTTGATTGTGCTACTAATGCAATTAGATTACAAACAAGACTAGACCGATCACAACAATTTGTCTCAGATATTTCAAACTGTTGTATAGGATTTTTGAGGTAAAACTACAGATTCTTAAAATTAATCTCAGTTCTTGTGGGATTTGATTGTATTCAACTATTTATAATTAACTGAATACGGGTTTTGATGTTTAGCCCAAGCGCATAAGGATAGTTGTAAACTTATATGTTGATCCTCTTTAGTCTCCAACCCTTGTTAACAGAGAGGGGAAAAATTAAGGACAGTGCTTCATTGAAAGAAGACAATGAAGGGAGCAAACGAAAAATCTAGAAGAAAAAAATAGGCATCGACTATTTTTTTAATAAATATTACAAAAGAAATGAGAAGCTATGATATCCTTGATATTATGTTTCAATTATATTCTTTGAGGATTTAATTTATCTTCAAGATAATGTTGATCCCACTTCTATATAGATTTTGTGTCTATTGCTAGTACCTACTCCTGTTGTCAACTTTCATAATTATGCAGGCTTAAAGGACTGCACCTAATATCATTTGAGGATATTACCTGCATATAGAACTTACAAGTCCAAACATAAACAGTCAGACGAATATCTGCCAGCGTCTTATTATTCTCCCTACAATTATACCACCTTATTTGTTCTATACATGCAGTCATATACCTGCCACTATTTTCACATAAACAATTAGTAATTATTAAATGCAGGAAGAAGATCAATAACACTAGTTATGGTAGAAAACTGTAAGTAGCCTACGTTTTCCAAGAACTGCAAAATTTTCAACAGTAAAACTTAAGGAAACAAAATATGAGCCTTAGCTGCCTATATCATCAGCAAGTTCCAACCAAGGTCATTCTATATGCAAAACAAGTTCAAAATGTGTGTGTTTGTGTGCATGAGTACATCAGCCCACATGTCTATTCATTCTCTTTATTTGTTTCCCATAAAAAAAAAGCCCATAAGCGTATTTTATTTTCTATACTTATGTGTTCTTTTACTTCACATGGCTGATCATTTATTTTTATAGGATCACATCAAACAGTCAACATAGCAAGTAACTTAGTGTGTGTGATCACACACAAGAAAAACTCTTGAAAGCCAATAAAACAAAAGGAAACTCTCACACCCATCTCGCCAAGCACCTAACAACCCGCATCCTTCTAGATATTATATGCAAACTGAAAATAGACGCCTACACCTAATGCCACCTAATGAATAACCAAAAATGGGAAGCCCCTGGACTGTCAAAAACATCAGGTAATGCATTGTACCAAGAAACGCAAATGTCAAATTTTTAGTTGATATTGACAAAGGACAATCAGGTGCTTCCAAGAAGCTAAGGGATGTTCATACACATGCTTTCATTCTATACAAGTCTCAACAATCCAAGATGAATAATACATGTCAATCTAACTAGAGGTACTTACTATTTTCAGATCTAGGTCAAGAACAAACGAATTCTGACAAGAATATGAAAAGAGGTGCTCGTCGTAGAGGCCGCAACAAAAGAATAGGTCAAAGAAGTTTCAGAGAGCATGAACCTAAAGCGGATTATATAAGCCAGTTGCCTACTGATATTCTACTAAAGATTTTCAACCTTTTGCCATTAGAGTCTTGGTTAACCATGAGCACAGTTTCAAAACATTTCAAACACCTAAGGACCCATGTGCCATTTCTGGATTTTGACCAAAGGGAGATGGAAGGAAAAATCATGAGAGATACCATATGCCCCATTAATGGTGAGTATCACCATGATATTCTTCCTATAGTGTGCCATCCATACTGTGCCGGAGTTGCAAGAACGAAATTTATCAGATTAGTAGATGAGATACTTCGCTTACACTCTGGATCTAAGATGAATAGTTTCAGTCTTTGCCTCGGCTACTACAAATACAAT